ATGTATCTGTGAAATTTGGCGAATCTACCCACAGAAGAAGTTCTCGAGAAATGAAAAGAAGCCCGAGTGGTGAAAATCAGCGCCGGATTTTCAAATCAGGCGTCATAAGAGGAAAGTGCGCTGCTCAAATTTGACCTGCGCCGGACCAGTAGTTGTGTGTAATGGTGTTCTCGAAATACAAGGTGGAAGGTTTGGTTCAGGAGCCCGAAGAAGGAAGAAAGGAAAAATTTGTTGTCGTGGATGGTCCCATAATGTTCATCCTGCACAAGAAAAAAGGGTGGATGAAGTCAAGCGCTGAATGTCTGATCACAGAGCCTGGACCTTTGTCGAGCTTCCCCGCGAGTCTGACATCCCAGCTGCAACTGCTGCCGATAAACTGAGGATGGTCAAGAGGGTGTGCGCATGGGTACCTAATTTTCTTGTAGAAGCACGAACGCGATTCTATGCCTCTAGCAGTAATGTTCTCAGCATGAGATGTCATTCACGACTGTGAAAACGCACCCCGGCCCTAGATGAAATATGGGTGGTCTTGGACCTCGAGCCAAAACTCACAATCGTCAATTTTGTATGAATGCAGATGAGAAGCCCGAGTTCTACCATGAGGGGTTACGTGGGCGCAAGTGGATGATCATCATAGCGAAGGATTCCTACACTGAGGCTTTTAGGCGGCTCTATACAGAAAATAAAATCGTAGCTGTCGGTGTATATTGCCTGTTCCTCGGCAATCAGATCGATGGATGATACCACACAACTACAAGAAGGCCACCGTTGCTCGTCATAGTGCCAGACCCCGAGTAACTGTATTGTAGGGCAGCTGGGACACAAACAATACTGAGACCTGGGTTCAATCGCCCCATTCGCCCGACATAAAGCCGAGCGATTCCAATTGTTCTCGTCAGTCGAGAGTACTCTCCGACGGCAAACGCTACAATGTTTTGTCATTCGCCGAAATTGGCATCAACAGCATTTGTTGAAAAATCGAAGGTACCAGAGGTCCAAAGGCTTTCGGGGCACTGGGAGCGGGTCACTGGGAGCGAGTCACTGGTGAAGGAGGGATTTACTTAACTTGAAGCCAAAATATTACTTTTTTATCTATTCTCCTCTTTGTTTTATTCGAATAAAACCGACGGCACTTTTGAATGGGATGACCTAATATTTCTTTTTCATTTTGATGTTTTATTCTAGTTTCAGTAACGGTTACAGTATGACCCCACAAATTTTTGTGACTGACTCTTTTCTTCAACTCTCTCGAATTTTCTGTTTTATTATTCTTGAAAGTTTTTATGCTTGGTCTTCAGAATACAATGTTTAGATTGCCATCCTACATCTTTTGGCAATTTCACGCCACTTGGACCATAGGGATGCGGTAGGGAAGTTAGTTTATGCCTACTCCATTTTTGCTGATAGATTAGGCCAGGTTTGTACTTTGCTGGAGAGTCGGGCAATGGCGCGTCAAGGGAATAGATGGAAATCTAAGGCTCCAGGTTTCTCATTGTTCGTTCCTCCTATTGTAGGCTCCCTAGTGAGCGAAAACATCCTACTCCAATCTAATCCTTTTGTGCGTATTTTTCGATTCCCACTCTCGCAATGTGTGAACGTGGCCTCACAGATATTTTCCAAGTTA